ATCTAAATTTTCAAGCATGAAAAATAGATCAGTATTGAATGTTCCCGTGCTAAATATACTTTAGAAATTTTGGCATCTGTTGATTTCCTTACATAAATACTTTTTCTATTTGTTGTGTCAAATGAATGAACATTTTTTGCATATTTGTCTAATTCTATTTGGGATATAATCTGAAGAGTTATGAATCCTCTGCCACCATGTCCATTTTTACAGAATGCCAAATTTAGATTCTCATAATTCTTAAATATGGGATATACTTATATATAAACCTAATTCATGTATAGTGCAACCCCTGATTTTTTTGGTGAAAAATCTGATTTTATCATATAACTGATGCATGATGTGATTCCAGCTTCTGAACAACACTAGTAGGACTACTGTAGTCAAATATTGCAGTATTGGGCATTATCCTGGACATATTTTATAGAAAATAAATGGTTTTCATCCTTTTTTGTAAAAATTATCCATAAAATATCTGATAAAAGATTAAGATACTGTACTTTTGTTTCCGTTCATTCCTGATTTTTAACCTCTTCAGAAAAGTTACCTGTGTATAGTGCAACCCCTTATTTTTGTGTGTAAAAACTCGAGTATATAAAGCAGCCAAGATTTTCAAACGTTTGAAATTTCCAGCCATGATGGAAAATATTGCCTAGTGGTGTTCTTGAAATGTGCAAAATGTGTTCAATTCTGTTTTCTCTGCATAAGATTATGGTTTTGTTGCATCTTAGAAATTTTGCCAAGGCAACAGAGGAATAGGTTATTTTTTTTTTCAAATTGCCTGAACAGAAGATGCCAAAGAAATGCTGCCATAAACAGCAAATTTTAGCAAGTTTGACTGAAGGATGTGGTTCATGTCTGCAGAATTGTTAAAGCTTCTTTCTACAGATCTTTGCAAATAATCAAATTCAGTTCATGTCCGTTCTACTGACAAGTCGGTAAAATGTTTACGAATATTGGATGAATCATTTAAGCTAGATTGAAGTAACAGGTGTCAATTGCATAGAGTAATCATTTTTTTCTTTTTATAACAGCATTCACCTTCTCACTGATCTAAGCAATAAAAGATACCTGGGAATCTGTAAAATTATAATGGAGTTCTTAAAAGTTCTTGGCACAACCATTTCCCCAAATCTGATCAAAAATTTGATTCTTTTTTTGAAGGGAGGGCTTCTTGGTTGAGCTAAAAACTTTTCAGCACTCCTCCCTATATAAGATGAAATATAGGAAAACCAATTAGGTATTTTAAATTTTATTCTGTTAACATTTCTTTCAGTAAGAACATCATCCCAACGACTGAAAAAAAAAACTAAAGAAAAAATCATTAACATGTCAACCTTGCAGTTTACAAATTCAGTGGTTATTTTGAAACTGTTTTGAATATTTAATAGTTAATAAAATTACAAATTATTTGAAAAATAATCAATGAGATTTCTACATATGAAAATATTAAAATGTAAAATATAGTGATTTGATAAAGGAAAATAAGAATTTGAATAAAAGAATAACATTTTGAAACCTCTAAATATTTTTCACATATTCCATATTACAAAGTGATGTAATGGAATAACCTGTCACCCTGATGAGTGACTACACTATAGGTAATAATTACCTATAAGTATCTGTAAGTCAACAGACTAGAGAGACTAGCTGGGATCTGTTGAGTACAACTCAGATATATGCAATACCTACCAACCTTCAAATAGTAGCATTCACTACTGGATTGACTTGCAACGATCTTGTGCTTAACTGTTACCTTTATTCTTATCATACTGGTTTTTACAATAAACCTTTACTTATTTTATCCACTGTGTTTTTCAAGTATATATTCCTATTAGCACGGAATATAACACAAAGTTTGTGCAGATATTTCAAGGCAATGAAGCCACAAAGACACAAGGGGTTACTAAATGTTACAGAATATAAAAAAGAGAATCTATTAAGGAAAGAGAATCTATTAAGGAAAGAGAACAATAAAAGAACAAGAATTAAGAAGACAGAAGATAATGATTGATGTCGCATTTAAATTTTTGAAGAACAACATTGATTGGAAGCAAGAAAATGGAAGAAAGTTCCACAAGTGAGAAGAAACTGTTAGCATAGAATTTGCAGTTACATCTAGCCATTTCAACTGTAAAATGATGAGACCTTACTGTCAATCTAGTACTGCACTTAAATTCATAGAGTCTAGGTACCATAGAGGAAAGTTCATCAGAACAATAAGCACAAAAGTATTGTAAGCATTCTGAAAGCAAAGGAAATATTTGTCGCAGATTAATTCCACAACACAAAGAATAAATCACTGTAAGTTCAGACTTGAATATCGGGGGCAGAAAGAAATGCTGAAAACTTGAATCGCAGGTATTATCTCACAAATCCCAATGCATGTAACCAGTCAGAAAAATAACTCACTCTCCGACGAATGCGGTAACCAAAATATACCAATTTTTCTCCCTGATTCGAGAACACCAACAGCTTTTATTGGCTGAGCATTTTTTTCCATTCGTCGACAACTGGGAGATGATGCCCAATTTTTGCATACCAAAATACTTTTATAGCGACTCCTGCGATGGACTTGTTTTTTTTAATTTAAACATTCCATCTTCAGCATGTCATGTGGAATACATGCCCTTTTTTTTGTTAAGTAATTTTCTTTTTCACCACATTTTCCATCATAGGATACATGTGATGTGCTGTCACTTGGTTTGACGAGGTAAGTTGCCGGTTTCTTCGCTATAAGTATTTATAGAAAAGACTCAAGAAAACTACATTATGGTGGTGGGAAAGGGACTGAAACTGAGATGCCAGGTCAGTATTAATAACATTGCAGATTCTTCTTTGGTTCTTATCAAGAATCTCTAAATATACAGCAGAAACACCAAACCAGATATCAAAGCAAGAATGAATGGTAGACTTATAAATATGTGAGATAGATTATGGTGAGAAAAATAGTTTCACATGATACAGTGAACTAACTTTCCTAGCAGCAGATTTAGCAATTGATTCAATATATTCCGAAGCACCACCCCATATAAGTGGAAAAAGTTAGTCTGAGAAGGTGCAAAGAGTCATTCTCATGACAGCATCAGCCATGAAGGCTTATAAGGAAATTACTAGATACAGCATTTCAATGGGGGAAGGTTGGAAATCCCACTGGCTGAAATATATGCAAAGATAATAATAGAACAATAACAATATTAAGAATTTTGCCAAGGACCCATGGCCCAGTAGATAAAGACATTGGTTAGATTCAGTGACTAAACCCAAAGAGTTGTGAGTTCAGTACAAGGTCACAACAGTCGTGAACCAAAACCTGGAGAGTTAAAGGGAAATAACTGAAACATCTGGAAGAGGCATGGCACGTGGTACTAGAACAATCTATCCTAGTAGACAAAATAAAGGGTTTTGATTCAAAATTCCAATCACCTGAAGAAGGCTGGAGTGTATAACGACTGAAATGTTGTGTATATGGCAATGAAGAAGAGGAATACAGTCTGAGTAATGTAAATAATGCAAGTAATCATAATACCTCATCTCAGAGATATAGATGCTGAAATGTTGTGAATTTGGCAATGAAGATGAGGATAACAATGTGAGTAATGTAATTAATGCAAGCAATCATGATACCTCATCTCATAGATATAGACAGATAAGAATTTTGCTTTTAAAATTTTATGTTTTAAGTTTTGCAGTTTCAATAAAGAAACTAACAGAAAACAAATACATGGTAAATAATTTTAGCTTGTTGTCTGCCATAATGTAGAACCACATTTTTGCATGTCATGGAAAAATTTCTTTGAAACTGATGTAGTGGCATCTTATTTCCAACAGAACACCAAATAAGCAAAATGTATTTTCTTTTCATTTTCTCAGACCATTGTCAGGCAAGCAAAGCTGCCATGATTAGTTATTCATCCCTGCTCCTCTTTAAAATGCAATGACTAAGAGTTGATTTTAATTGCTGTGCCCACTTGGTGGTCAAGAAAGAAAGAGAGGAAATCAAATGGACAATTGAAAGACATTTGGGGGATGGTATTGGGTATAGTGTTGGTGGAGAGAGAAATAATTGGAACATAAAATATAAAAGACTAACAAAATAGACAAAAAAAAGTGTGTAAAATCTGCAGTGCAAAATTCATTTTTAGCTCTCTATTCATTGGGAAAGGTATGAATCCTCTTCTTCTCCCCCCAGCTGTGGGTAAATAGCAGGACAGATTGGGTTCTATAGCCTTGGATGGCAACTGGTCTACCACAGAAAGAAATGGTAACCTACTGTTGGAAAAAATCTGCCTCGTCAGTCATGTATCAAAAGAGACACGATCGCCTAAGTGTGTATTATGCATGGCACATAACTGACTGATTCAGTTTATTCTTTTCAAAAAAACAAGTGCTGAGAACTTTCCCCACACACCTGATATAAAGTCAAACAAATTGAAAATTATAAATTATGATTTATAAAAAATGTACAAAAATTACACAAAATATAAAGAATTAAATAAATATAAAGAAGAAAATTCTTGAAATGCAAAATAAAAGAAACATGAGAAAGAAATGAACTCTCTGAAAAATCTTGCAATACAAAATTGGATAAAAATAATATAGCATTTTGAAGAAGTCTCTTTATGGGAAAGTCAACAGGTTGTCGTTGGCATTCAACAACATTTTGCAGAAAAATAAAACCTTTTAGCCCACTAAACTCAAAAAGTAATTAAGATTAATATATTCATAGAGAGACAGAAGTCACACATGCACATATTCAAATCTGGTGTGTGTGTGTGTGTATGTTATATATGCTTGTGGATTGTTTTTACTTTAATTAAATGCTTTTAAAATCAACTGGATTGCTGATGTTGATCAAAATTTTAAAAATTCCTAAGTACATTTTTCTAACAAGTAAATGTTAAGGTTTTCAATTTTAGGAGAATATATATATATAAAAAAAAAATTGTGTGTATGTGTGCAAATATATGTATGTACACATGTGCATAAATTCTGCTCACCTGTTTTGCCTGCTCCACTCTCCCCCGAGATGATAATGCACTGATCCAGATTCCGGTCACGCATTGATCGATATGCATAGTCTGCTATTGCATATCTGCAAGAGAGAAAGATGACATCTTCATCAACAGAATTATTAACAAAATCAGGCAAATATAAATTAATGTATGCTGGATTTAAAGACAATTTTCAGACATTTATCTTCATCTTTGTAAGCTTCAAGGAAAATGGAAAGCAAAAAAAGACACTTGCTTAGAATCAGAAAGTGATAGACAAAATTTATAGGACAAAATGAGGAAAGAGGGTTTGGCTAATTTAAAACTCACAGGGTATATTGTAGACACCAGAGACAGAAGGAAACAGTAAGTAGCCTACATAATTTGTATAACAGATGATAGAACAAGGACTGGGAAGGACTGTAAGAGGACAAATATTTCTTAGTGCCACAAAGAAAAGGAAGTTGTGGAGAGCCATGAATACCCACATCTTGAAGGGAGACAGCACATAAAAGAGTCGCATCTTTGCCATTTTCAGATTTTAACCGGTCTGTTTTCCTACCTTCTTCAGTTGCTTATATCTGAATGTCATCTTAGGTTTTTTTTTTGTTTATTTAATTTGATGTTTTTCAAGTTTTTTACCATCATTTTAACTTGAACAATTCACGGATCTAAATAGAGGATTTGTTCTAACACAAATTGTTTTTGCATCATGGTAGAATTTCAAATAGCATATGAACAACTTTGTTAGACATTTTGGAACACTTGAAATAATATAGTCTTTAAAACATTATACATTTTTCCCATCATTATTGCAACATTTCATTTTTAAATGAATCAATTTAAAATAAACATGGCTGTTATTAATATTTCCTCTTTTTTTTTCCAAGAATTCCCTTTAAAGAATGGATACAGCCTTTGTGGTTAATAATTTCTAATGTCCATGGATTTCATATACGCTCTCATTCAAAATTTTGATGATTGAATGAGTGTATTTTCACTTTCTAATGCCAGTTTTAAACTGAAAATGATCTTTTAGAATTTGGCTCTGATTAATCATACACCTAACTTTTGAGATGGTCACCAAAATAAACTCTTATCAATAAAGAGTAAAATAGAATATGCAGAAAATCAATTTATTAGCAGACAGGATTTGACTGGGTTTAAATCATTCTAAAATGAGGATTTATTGCTTGTCTTTTGCCTCTTGTTAAAACTAAGAGAAAATTCCCATATGTGAAATGAGAAATTATTCAAATCCAAATAAGAAGGATGCCTGCTGTAGAGCCAGTAATAAACCAATCTCATGGGTTATTTCTGCTGTAATGAGTCTGATTCTAACTGGGTGCCTCTCTTCTATGGATCTGATCTCAATGCACCAATTTGTTCAGATGGTAATAATTGATATGACCACAATGATAAATATCAGCTGAAAAAGGTGGGATTTTTTTTTTTTTATGTACCGCAAACATTTTGAATACTTGGATTTTCTTATAACATTTTTATGGGGGTGTACCAAAAAGTTTTCAACCCAACCCAGAAGCCCTTCAGAAAACTGATTTCTGGCAATTTGGTTAGATTTTTGGAAATGGATACTTTCAAAAGTATCTTTTGGTGCATGTACATGTAAAAATCAATGATAAGTCAGAATTCACTCTAAATGGGGATTGAAAAACTGAAAGTCAGGCAAATTTAAAATCAATTGTTTGTCAAAATATAGCATGATGAAAACTTCAAATAACTTTTATATAATTTCCACTGTATTTGAACTAACAAGACACACAGTATAAAGAGTAATTATGGAGAAATTACTGCCGGATAGGTTTTTCTCTAAATAAACAAATACAAAATTTCAGTCATAAAATGTTTTGAAATATGTGTATCTACTGTTGCTGATCAGATGACTTGTAGAGCCAATCAAAAGTGTTCAGCTAGCAACAGAGTGGAAAAATATGGAAGGATGAGATTAGCAGCATGGTGAAACTAAGAAAGGAAGTTCATTTCTCATGGCCTTGGAGGCTGGTAGTCAACATACAAAGATGTTACTTATAACCCTCTCTAGGTTGATATGTACTTGGATATTAACCTGTAGGTGGCATTGCATTGAATTTTGTACAATGTTTTCCTGTTTTACTAGCAATGCTTTGTAACATTATTCTGTCATCATTTTAATTGTAGTGCCACCCACCCACCCTCTATGTCTATGTCATGTAATATAAAGAAATATGTTCAAGATAATATATGTAAAGAAATATGTTGAAGTGGTATAATAAAGGAAAGAAATGTAGATAAGAGCAGTGATTCTCTCAGAAGATGACATGTTGGGAAATGTACTTGAGGGAGGCCATTGATTAAAATACAGTAACCAAAGCAACAAAATCAGAATAATTAATACAATAATGTCAACAATTAGAAATTTAGTTTGATTTTCAGATGAAAAATGATAAATTTAGTAATTACAAATCGCTATGGTCACATGGTTAAGTGAAAAAATGATTATAATTTATTATTAAATATATTTACACCTGTCTATGAGGTAGGAATTTATTTTTTTAATCATTTCTACCCAAGCAAGGTGATAATTCCACTAAGATACAAGGAGTTACTGAGAGTGAAAGAAAGTGAGGAGAAAGGACAATAAAAATAAAAGAATAGGATTCAGGAAGACAAGATGGGGATTGACACTGCATTTAAATTTTTAAGATTGTAGTTCGCAGGGAAGCAAGAAACAGGAAAGGAGTTCCACAGGTAAGAAGTGCAAAAAAAGAAACTATTAGAATAGACCAAATTGTTACATTTAGCTATTTCAACAGTCAAATGATGAGATTTCTTTGCCAATGTGTCAAGATTGGTGTGGGAAGAGAATTTCCGAGCATTCTGCTTTATCAGCAGTAAATTGCATTACTTCAAACTAATTGAAGAGAGGAGAGATTGATACAAAGAGCTGTGTTATGATCTGAACTATAATGTTGGTATAACTAGAAGAAGTTATTCCTGTGGGCTATAGTGGCTGAACATGTAGGAATCAACCAAGGAGAAAACTGCTGTTTTACTTGGTATTTCCAGAGCTAGCATAGAATCTTCGACCCAGGAAGAAACTTTGGTGACCAAATTTTCAATGGGAAAATTAAAAATTCCCCTCCAAGGGGCATAATGAAGAAAATCATGTGTATTGGTAACAAAATGGTCCTGTGGGGTTCTTGCCTAGTAGACGAGTTGGAAAGAAATATATACAGACAATGCTGTTTAATCCGAGTTGCTAAGAGAACAGAGTTGTAAAGTGTGACAAGAGTCTGGAGAGGAGGATCGAAACAGATCAAGTAAAGAAGTGTATCTATCAGAATTGCTTTGGAAACAAGTAGGGAAATAATTTAGATAGTTTTATATTAGCCTAAGAGCCTATCAGTCATGGCAAGTGTTGGCAAATCAATTATTCATTCTTGAAAGCTGATTGAAAACAATCCAATTCATATTGAAATATTGGAAATGAAAACGATAAGAACATTAGCTTGAATGAATTAAATTATCTGTAGGTGTTTGGTTCCGAGATGAACTACAATTGTTAGTCAAATAATTATTCAGACTAGTATCCTTATATTTATTATATGGATCAGTTAATTTCAGTTGGTTTGGTTTGTTTTTACAGCGTATCAACCTCAATGGGTCATTTAATGCCGACAAAATGTTTATTGTTAGTAATATTTTTTTCTTTTTAAATCTATTTCTGGTAATATTTTTCTTCCACAAATTATATTTCTGGTAAAATCTTTTCTTCAAAAATTCCATTTCTGGTAATAATTTTCTTTCAAATATGCTATCTTTGTAGACTGAAGTAATTGTTAAATTTCAAGGATTAATCCTATATAGAGTAAAGTGCATAATATTTAATATTTTAAAATATTGAATAAATGTATATTTTTTGTTAATATTTTCAATCTTAAAACATTACAATACTGAAAGATTGATTGATAAAAATTTGTAATACTGTACTTTTTACTTACACTTATTTAAGATGTTCTGACATTTAAGTGTCAATTTCAATGAATTAATCAAATAAAAATTAACCCATCAAAAATGTTTGTGGAGGTAAATAAATAATTCTTTTCAAAAAATTATTTCTCTCATAATCTTACTTATTATAAAACGCAGATTGTTTGTGTGTGTGTGTCTGTACGTTTATATATTGGATCGGATTTCCTACATTTTTCAACCGATTTTAACAAAACTTCACAAGACTGCGTAAAATTACCTTGTGGTGGTTCTGACAATGCCAAAAATTGAAAAAACACAATTGTTTTTGCACAAAATCAATTTGAAAACACGATTTTGTCACCAGAATGAAAGGGAGACAACTCATATAGAGTTATACTTATAAAACCCAGGTTGTGTGTGTGTGTGTTCGTTTATATATGGGATCGGATTTCCTACATTTTTCAACCGATTTCAACAAAACTTCACTTATTTTTGGCAGGTAGTGTTTCTTATTGTCTTGCACACTTTTTTCTTTATTTTTACATTCAGAATGCTTTAAAAATTCCATTTACAAGACAATTGTTTATAATAAAATTCTATTCAATTGGTAGACTCATAGCGATTGAAAACAATGTTTTTGTTTGAGTTTGGGTTCAACCAATTCATAACAAAAAAAACTAAGACATACGTGTCCATCAACCTTAAACAATAATCTTTGTCAATTTTATTTTTCAGTCTTTATGATGGTGGATACTTGATCTATCTCTTACTGTTACATCCTTGGGCAACGCCTGGCTCTACTGCTAGTTATCAATAACTATGAGCATCCTGCCTGGTGATGGTTAACAAGTGAGACTAGTTGACCATTTATGAGTTAAATTTTCACTGAGAAACTTCATACTTCTGGTTTTGTTTCAAATTTAAACTAAGTTTAGTAAAAGAACAATTATCATTAAAAATAAAAAAAGAACAAAAACTGATAAACCTTACTAACTGAATAATTATTTTCTTTGATATAAGTTAATTGTATATAAATCAATGATTTAGAGAGAAACATTTTCTTGGGGTTGAAAACGTTTAACAAATTTGATCATTTAT